GTGAGTGGTTGTTAGCATTAGCGGTTAGCAGTTACTAAACTAGCAGGTTCCAGAGCCCGTCTGATCACAGCTTACCTTCGTACGGATTACTGTGTTCCCACTGTTTGCTGGCTTTATGATCTGCAGCTCCTGAACCCATCCATTCATGAACTGCACATGAGACTCCAAGGACTTGTAGCTTGGGAACTGTTTTGAAGTATAGGCGCTCACTCATCGGTGCTCCACTCATTGTTTGGAACTTTATATGGATCCAAATGATTAATAATGCTGATTTTGTCACCGTACCGGTCCCTGGCTTCTCTATTTAATGTGTCCCGGTAAATTCCAGATCCTTTTCGGGATTTTAACATCTTTTTTCTCTCTACTTCTGTCTCTTCTTTCAACAACAATGTTGTGTCAGAGCTAAGTTTACGTTTGCGTAGCAGTCAGTATGGCTGCGACGTCCCACAATGCAACGTGGATCCCGAGCCCTATTATTTTAAATTATATCAGTGATGACGCAAAATTAATTCCTATAATGCGACCTTTGCTTCTTTCTTGTTGTAAAAACTTACTAACTTGAATGACTATATTGAAAAACAACAGTAAAAAAGTAAGGCCTTAAACAGCTGTTATGCTAGCTCAAAAAAACAAGAAAGTTAGCCGAGTTCTGCTAGCTAGCTACATAGGAAATTCTTTAGTTCCTTCTGCGGCAGATTTTTCGGATTTTTTTTCGACTCTTCTTCACTAAAATGAACCCACAAAAAGTTCACTTGAACTTAAAATAAGCTGTAGCGAAACCAATCAAATAATAAGCACCTTTGTTCTAGTATCTAAATGCATGGTTTACCAGTTTCCAGCCTCTCGGTCGCGTGTGTTCCCGCATTAGATGCTGCGTGTGTGTAATGGCGGACAGGTGTTATAACGCGATCCGTGACCCGTAATATATTGTTAGTGAAGCGCGAGCTGAGGCGGAGTCTTCTCATCAGTCTGTCGACTAATAACTTCTATCTACTATGGCTTTACATTTTCACCTAATTTCACACAATGAATGTCTATACCTAAAAAAAGTTTATAGTGAAATACACGTAGCGACCAGTTTGGCAACAATATATGAGGGGTCACAGATTTTACTGCAACACCTGGAGGTCAACATTAGCTTAACCCACCAAAATCATTTCAAAGAATTAAATAAATAAAATATTAAATATTACATTATTTATATAAGCAATTAAAATATAAAATAAACAAAGTAATACAAACATTCTAGTTGGAGTTAATATGATGATCAAAAGGTAATTCAAAATATTTAAACTAACAAAAAATATATATATTTTACTTAATTTATGCCAAATTATGATTTGATCAATTAAAATATTGATTTTGAATTGTGATTTTAAAAATAATAAGGATTTTTAGAGCTCCTTGCTCTCTTTTTTGCTCATGAACATTTCACCAACAAACCATCAACAGGACTAGAAATCTGACCGAACATTTAAGAAAACACCTGATGGCAGTGATTCCCTCAACATTTTAGTTTAGGAGCTCCATCGTTCTGATTTACCTGGTTTTTGTTTGTTTGTTTATTATTAATATTTCTGTTCAACCACAATTCAACACTATTTTCATTGAATTTTGGCTTTTTCACTGGCAGCTGATTTTTTCCATCTTTAATAGGAGAGTATGTATACTTTTTATATAATATTTTATTATCCAAGTACCGTATAGTTTTTAGACTTTTTTATATTTACTATGTTTTTGTTCTTTTTTCCAATGTAAAAAAGGCATACATTATAAAAAAAATGCTTTGATTTAATTTAATGGTGCATCAGCACCCCCAAGTTTGGTCAAAAAACGCCTATGAATCCAACTCTTATTATGTGACATTCAAGCCAACAGCAACTCACCAACCGTCCAAAAGTGTGTTAATTACAGGCTTTACAAGGTTAAGCAGTTATCATTATTATTCTTTGTATATTTAATCCATATAGCCTAGGTGGTGTGTTGTGTTTTTATTATATAAATTTTATTTTTATATTTTCCCTTTTGTTTTGCTTTATTTAATTCAGTTTTTAAATGAATCTTTTGAAACAGCAATTTTATAATCCAGCCACATGGTGATGCTGTTGTCCCGGTTTTCCATGTCAGTTGAAGTATGAATTTAGAAATAGGCTACATAATAATAATAATAATAATAATAATAATAATAATAATAATAATAATAATAATAATAATAATAATAATAATAATAAAAATGATTATAATGATTATTTAATCATTATTATTTAATAATTATTATTAAATAATAATAGTAATCAATAATAATAATGATTTATAATAATAATAGTAATATTAATAATATTAATAATAATAACAATAATAATAATAATATAATAAAATCTGCCTGTTATTCTAGTATAACAAACTTGTAAAGCATTTAAAAAAAGAAAAATCCTCCTCTATGTGTTTCTTGGTCTTAGAAAGGATTGGATCTTGAATTTATTTGATTTACACATAAAGCATTTGTTTTTAACTTCGCATAATTTCATAGTTTAGAGAAAAAAGCACGTAGGAAAGGATGGAGTTGTGTTTTAATTTGGATTCAAATAAATAGTCTGAATAAACCAAAACAATCACATATGATTTAACTACACAAAATGTGTAACGGGTTCCTGTTAAAATCGAACCCCGGAAAACGCAATCACATGACAACGGCTATAATGCAGCGTTGTCAAGGAAACGAGTCTCCCAATCGAACAGCGTGAGAGGTTGCATCGCTCAGCTCCTCCAAAGGACACGAAGAAGAAAACACTGGAAATGAATCATTCAGGGTGAGTTTGACTTATTTATTTAAACAATACGGTAATATACTGCCAATATGTTAAAGGATATAAAAGGAGTGTCTGTGGAATCTTCATTAATGTTAGCAGCCAGTCGCTCCTATTCGAATAACATTTAAGTAGCCTACATATCCGGTGATGACCCTTCAAAATAAAGCAACAGCAATACGTCGAAATGTGTTACACATATTAAGGAGAGGTAAAGATGTCAAATAATCTAAATAAAGATTTAGTTAAAAATTGAAACAGTTTAAGTGAAAGGATTCTTGACACCTTTCATTCATGTTTTTGTAATTATGCTTTTAATTTAGGGGAATTGCTGTATTTCCGGTTTTGGTTCTCAGTAGCTTTATACATTTGTAAACGCGTTAGCAACTCCGTTTGTTTAAATTGTCTAAACATTTAATCACACATTTAGATTGTTAGTGTGGTTTTCATGAAACAAAGATTCAGGTCCTTATATTGATGTTTAGAAAATTAATAAAAATGTTATAATCCTGGATTTTTATGTTTTATTTTGGATTAATCTCACTGGGGGCGAGGAGGCGACACGGGACAGGGGGAAGAGGGAAGGAGTAGCAACACTTGTATTTTTTATTTTTTTCTGTTAAATGTGAACTCCATATTTATTTGTATTTTACTTAATTTTAATTTAATTTAACTTAATAGTTTTTTGCCCTGTAAGCTGCTGGTAACCTTAATTTCTGGAGGGAGTTTTTCAATAAAGTTCTGTCTAAGTCTAAGTCTATTTGTAAATGTGAAAACTGTAATTTTTTCTCCACAGGTTTATCATGCGGGATCACAGGAATGGGAGGAAATTATTTCCACCAGTGGTCAGCAAAGATAGGATCATCTGGGAATTTCCGCAAGTATATCCCTAATACATTTAGTCTTTTATTATTTATATTTATTATTTTTAACTGCAGTAGTATTAACTTCTTTCTAAAAGATCTAGATCTCCCAGAATCCTTAAATTGTAATCAGTGTGTTATATCACAGGCAGGAGTGGATTTAGGAAATTTGTGGCCCTAGATTAAGATGGGCAGGGGCCCCTCTGAAATGAGAAGACAACACATTAAACCGACCAATTATACCAATAGGGAAATGTTAATAGAATAGACATCCATTATCTGTTCTAGGTTGTGTCCCTCTCTTCTTGTCCCTTTTCTTCTTGTTTTCCTCTCTATGTTTTGTACTCAGCTGACTTTTCATGCTGTCTCTAAAGGAATGAAAGATTTTTTCCAAGCACTAAGCTCACTTAGCTGATTGCTCCTTCCTATGTTTCCAAAAAGGCCAAAGTAAATAACCCAGTCCTTCTTTTCACTGTAGACCAGCCATGATCTGCTTATCTGTTCTCCATTTTTCATTTGGATGAAATAATAGCTGCATGAATCATGACAGCAGACAAGATAGAGGAGAGCAGGAGGCGGGGTTACCAATCTACTCGCTCTGGAGAGCAGAGTTTGCTGCTTTTAGATGTTGTCTCCAAAGTCTCCAGTAGCAGAAAAAAGTTGCTAGATTTGGTGCTAGGTGCTTTTTTGAAATAAAAGCACTAGAGGGGTCTGAAAAGTCGCTAAATATAGCGACTAAAGCGCTAAGTTGGCAACACTGCTCTTTGCATCGTTTGTTTTCAAATGGTTTGCTGCTGTCTGTTTGGACCTTTCTGAACATGAGCAGCAAAAGGACATGGATACATGTAAACAAATTTTTATGGGGCCCCGCAGGAGCTTGGGGCCCTAGTATTGCCTAATGGTAAATCCCCTCTGCATCTAAAAATCCCACAATAGCAGCTCTGGAGAAATGGATTTAAGCACCCCAGTTTGCATGTGAGAGAATATTGTATGACAATACACTTGCCAGAAACGGTTGCATTCTTTTTCTAAAGCTCTATAATGCTCCACTCTATATCATGACTTTGCTGCACTAATTTTTTGCCAGGACACTCTTGATATTATAAGCGTTCTGATGGCATTTTGGCAAAAGGATTTTTATCAAAAAAATTATTAATGTAGGAATTTAGGGATAGTTGTAGTAATCATACATGTAAACAGAGTTTTATGAGGCCCCCAGGAACTTGGGGCCCTATGTAAATGCCTAGTATTGTCTAATGGTAAATCCCCCCCCTGTTCACAGGAAAGCACTAACATTTAACCACAGCTCTGTAGAATATTATATCATGTTTATACAGTATGTGTTGCTGTTATTGTCAGTGCTACACTCCTGAGGCCTCCCTGCAGCTGAAGACGGACTGGGACATTCAGACTAAAGCAGCATTTAAAGACCAGACTGACAGGCTTCAGCTGTGAGTTTCCAACAGTTATTTTATTTTTTATTTTATTTTTACTAAAGATGATATCAGATTTGTCATCAGCCATAGCAATCATTACACCTATGTTGTCTTTTGGGAAAGATGGGATCGCCAGAAAATGTCTAAAGTTGTGGTGGTCGGCGACTTCAGTGTGGGAAAGACCTGCCTTATTAACAGGTAATGCAATCATAATTTACGCATCAGAGATAAAATACAGTTTATTCTGACTAAAGGACTTCATATTTATTTAGATTATTAGTATTCCTTTTTTCCCTCAAAGTATTTATATAAATCATGGTTCCATGATTTATTTTACTAACCTGACTCCGCCAGATGGATTTGCTCCACATATCCATCTGGAAACCTTCCGTTGAAGTAATTTTGGTAAGGGGCGAAAATACTGGTTAGCTGATTGGCCTATGTTGGTGATAGACGGGCCAAATAAACCAATCAGATCAACGAAGTATATGACGTACTAACAGAGCGACGATGAAGAGGAGCCAATTGATAGATCAAACACTTGCTGAAACCAGTCGGGAGAAGAGCAAAAACATATTTTCCTCTGAGAAAAGCCTCCAGAGCAGTGTTTTGCTCTTCTTTCAGTGAAGAAATACTCTGTAATTCCGATAAAACTAACGCTAACGCTAGTTTCATCGGCTGAAGCCCCATGTTCTTTAGACTGAACTGTCGCGCTTCTCGTTGCGTCACACCTCAACCCGCCTCAAAGCCAACGCTGATTGGGCGTTCGTTTGGTGAACGGCTCCAAATTTTCTTTAACGGAGAGTCTCCAGACTGATCTGCGAATGAAACCTTGAAAGCTCGCGAGATCAGGATGGTCTCACGAGGCTAGGCTAACTGCTATTTCGCCGATTTTTTATTTGTAGAAATTTTTTTTTCATATTTTATTCATTCTTTTTTATTTATTGACAAAATTCATTAGAAAAAAAACTAAATATTAAAAATAGAAAAAAATAATTATTTTTAAAAAGTCTGAAAAAACTGTAAATTGATTAAGAAATTTAATTTCTTTTTTCTTTTTACATAATTAAATTTACATAACATATATTTAACAATAATGACACAATAACTGTACAAAATTCCCTTCATATTTATAGTCACTGATTTGATTAAAATACTGAAATGTTACAATTGGATTTTTTCTTGTTCATGTTAAAACTGACCTTTATGTTTCTACATACCGGTAAATGCTTAAATCGTAAATTTTCTCCTCTATATTATCTATCACACATATCTCCAGTGAAGAGTATAGAGCTTTTTGGAAGTTTCCTTCCTTTTTTAAGGAAGTTTTTGACTATAAAGTACATGTTATCAACCCAAAGTAAAGAGATAAGGTCTTTATTCTATTTCATTTCTTCAGATTTTGCAAAGATGTCTTTGAGAGAGATTACAAAGCTACTATAGGAGTGGATTTTGAGATCGAGAGGTTTGAGATATCAGGAGTACCGTTCTCCCTTCAGATGTGAGTGTGAAGTATTAAAAAAATAATTCAATAATTTTTCTTCCTTTTTGTATCCTTTAATATTTTAATCTGTGATATCCATTCCTCTAGCTGGGATACGGCTGGACAGGAAAAATTCAAATGCATTGCATCTGCATACTATCGAGGCGCACAAGGTATGATTATTTTTTTTGTTAAACATATCAATGACTGCAGGTTTAGACTAATTTAATCTAATTAGATATCCTTGATTTTATCTAGTGATTGTAACAGTGTTCGACATGGCAGATATTAAATCCCTGGACCATACAAGGTAAGTGTGTTTTCAAATTGATTTATAGTCTAAACTCTATTAGGGCTCCCATCGGTTTTGTTGTATGTCAAGGTACTTCTTTGATTTTGGACAGCTGTTGCTACAGCAACAAGGCCTTTACTTTTTGTTTCAAAATTGGTCCTTTGAAAATGTTTTTCCATTGATTTAAGTTTTAAAATATCAACTGACTTCTGACAACTGTTCCCTCAACAGAAAATGTCGCCATGTCACAATGTCATATCCCTGATCACTATCGGCATCATGCCGTTTTCAGGTCTCTGTGGTGCAATCGGTTAGCGCGTTCGGCTGTTAACTGAAAGGTTGGTGGTTCAAGCCCACCCAGGGACGCCATTTTTTAGGAGGGAGTTTTAGCCTACTGATTAGAGCAATGCACGCTGGGTTCCCAAGGAAACCCCTTGACACTGCTCGGGGCCAGACAATGGCAGCCCACTCCTCCTCAAGGCGATGGGTTAAATGCAGAGATATATTTCTCAAATGTGAGAAAAAAATTAAATAATTATTTAAATACGGAATAGCAGACTGATATCAGTGTACCTTTGGGCAGAAAATGAAACTCTGACAGCTCATTTTAGAACTACTAAAGGTACCTTAACACCAAACGCGGATTTCACAGCTGGACTGAAGGATTTCCATGCTATCTATATGTGTAGGGTGACTCCTGAGCACCAAGAAGTGAAGAGGAGCAGGGCAAATGTGAGGAATTTAACCAGGCAAATGACGCTATTCTGGCAAATTTGGCCAAATTAGACTGTAGGAGTTAAAAATATAAACTTTTGTTTACATTTGCTAATAGCGCAATCTTTCCAATAAAGATTCACGTGACTATTGGTTCAGAAGCATCCAAGTTAAACTCACTTCAGCTCTGTCAGTTGTTTTTTTAATGTGACCATGAAATCCAATGAACTTTCTTTCCTCTTGATCAAGACGCTTTATTTTCAAAATCAGAACAAACTTAGATTTTCTTACCACAATATGACGTGACAGGCAGATCATATCGGTTCATTTCGTTCCTTTTTTGCCACACAAAAAAAAAAAACAATAATCAAAAGCGGTCAAAAACTGTATGGCTGCGCTGACTGAATCCAAGAGCTCACCCGGTCCCAATAGCCAACTCCAATATAATCCAGGTGCTGTCCATAATGAAGGGGCGGAGGCGAGAAACAGCGTAGATTATGCACGGCAGCAAAACACAACTAAACAAATTCATAATTTCATAATTAAGTCAGTCAACTCATACTTCAAACCAAAATATTTCATGTTCATATATATCATACCAAAACCAGACAAAAATTGTAAACTAGAAATAAATATTCAATCATAAATTAAGCATTTGATTCCAACATTTGCTTCCTGAAATCTTATTAGCACTAGATGTGACCTACAGTGAATGAGGCAGCAGAGACAAACTTTTTTCAAACAAAATGGGAGACAGAAAACAATGTTGACAAAGGCCGAGGTTGACTTAGACTTAGACAAACTGATAGAGGTGGGGAAGAAGCTGTTTCGGAATCTGCTGGTCCTGCATTGAATGCTGTGAAGCCTCTTCAGGGCGGCATGGAGAACAGTCCATGGTGGGGGGGTGAGGGGTCATTGATGATGTTATGGGCTTATGACATGCTGCGCTGGGATGTTATGTCTTTAATGGACGGAAGAGGATCCCTGATGATCCTCTCTGCTGCTCTCACTACTCTCCATACCTTCTTCCAGTCTGAGGCGCTGCAGCCTCCACAACACACAGTGAGACAGCTGGTCAGAACGCTCTATGGTGCTTCTGTAGAAGGTGGGGAGGATGGGTGGGGGCAGGTGGGCTCTCCTCATCCTCCACAGGAAGTACATGCACATTGGTGCCCTTTTGACCAATGAGGTGGCGTTTACAGTCCAGTTGGGGGATGCTCTTAAGATGACAGAGAATCTTCACCAGCATCCTGAACATAAAATATATCCTACAGTTTGAGCTTCTGTTTTTCCAGTCAATGGCTGGAGGAGGCCATGAGAGAAAATGATCCTGACTCCTGTTTCATCTTTTTGGTTGGGACAAAGACGGATCTTCTGGTGAGTGTCTTCTAAAGTGATGCATATTTTACTGAATTAAAGTACATATTGTTCTGTTACAAACTAACGTGATCTAAAGCCCCCAGATGAAAGACAGAGAACTGAAAAAGATGCTGTCCGTATGGCAGCAGAAATGCACGCAGAGTTCTGGGCAGTTTCAGCAAAAACAGGTGAAACTCAGACCTTACGCTGTCAGTGATGTTTGTTGCACTTGAGTCATCTTAAAGGAAAAGTCCGGTCAGCCAGGAATAATCAATAATAATCAATAAAATTAATATGTTCGCGATAATTTAATAAATTTAGCATTAATCAGTAGAAAAAAATAATAATAATTTTCATTGCGATCACTGGGAGCGGCCATTTGTGCCCAAATATAGTAACCCCTCCCTCCTGCCATCTTCCAGCAGTGACGTCACGGTGCGGTAAGCCTAGCGCCATTCTCCCCGCTTTACAAGCAGAATCAATGGGAACTACTAGACACATCTGCAATCAACAACAATTATTGAAGATCTCCAGAGGACTTCACCATTGAAATTCACCAGAGCTATAGTGAAACTGACAATGCCCACGTGCATGGCAGCTGGATGTTGGAATACATCGGGTAAAAGTGAAAAAAAAAGAGTTATTCTTCCTTTCTGATTCCTGATCCTCCACGGACGGGTTGGTCGTTGGATCGCCAACTTGAAGAGGGAGGATTTGTCATCGAACTTCTGGCCAGAGAAAAAACCCGTAATATGTAACCAACATTTCGAAGAAGAATGTTTTCAAGATGACTTGGATAATAGCGCGTTGTGACAAACACCAGATACAGCACTGGGACTTGATCAACAGCCGATACCGCACCGTGATGTCACAAACCAGTAGGTGGCAGTGGTGTTCTTTGACAAACATGGATGCCTCCAGTAAAGCACATTCACATGAAAATTACTCTTAAATAGAAACACTTTTTATTTATTGAACAGGATGGAATAATATCATATTTAAAGTACTTTCAGAAGTTTGTATTCTGAAAATGACCGGACTTCACCTTTAAATGATTCTTTTTACAAGTAAAATACGTTTTTTTGGATCTCGTTTTGAGCTGTCGCTGGTTTTAGCTCCAGCGAACATCTCTTTATTCCCAGGTTAACGTCCTGTTTAAATATTTTTTCCAAACCGACAACGTTGAGCTTTACAAACTAAGTTTCTACTGATTAACAAAGTTTCCCTCGTCTAACATTTGATAACATCATCATCCTCACAGTCCTTATCTTTTTTTATTCATGTGACAAAGAGATACAGGATCCAGTTCTCCTCAAAGCAGGCTGCGGATCCTCATCAAACAGCTGGTGTGTATGGAGTGATATTTATTTTATTTTTGTTGCAAGCAAAGCATCCGTTTTGTAAATGGAAATTTACAAAATGCACATTTTGTAAATTTAAATACAAAACAATCCAATCCAGAAATATATAATTGTCTTCACCTCAAGCCGAAACAAATGCTAACATTTACTAATAAAAATGTTGTTGCAATCAGGACAATAGAAATGCATCTTTGTTCTTTGCTTCAGAGGCAACTCCGCCCCCACAATTTGAAAAGAATGCAATTCTTAAAACTCAATAATATTTTTTTTCTTTAAAAAAAAAAAAAGAAAATATAAAATCAGTTTAAAGAAATTTTTTGGAAAAAAAAATCTGAGCTAACAGCAAATTTACTCTGAAAAAGCTTCTTTTCAAAAAAAAAAAATTCAAATTTTTATTTCAGGATTGTATTTGTTTGAGTTATTCATTTACAGAATGAGTTTCTTTAAAAATTTGCATTTATAAAGCGTGCTCATTCCTTGCAACAATAATGGAACACATTTCCCTCCATAATGGTGTTTGTCTCCTGCATGCAGCTGATGTAGCTGTAGCGTCCCCAAAAAACAGAAAAAGATGAATGCGATTATGAAATAATTTCATATTTAAAATACTTTCAGGAGTTTGAATTCTGAACACGACCGGACTTTTCCTTTAAATACTTTGGGTTCAAAACAAGGTTAGAAATCAATAAAATCGTTATTTATTGTTTTCTTATTCACAGGGGAGAATGTCCAGGCATTTTTCTTTAGGATATCAGCTTTGGCCTTTGAAAAATGTATAATGAAGGAAATGGAGAAAAGCATTCCTGCTAGTATTGGTCCTGGGGATAACATAAGTAAGTAACAAAAAAACGTAACGTCCAATATTCTCAAATGCCTAAAAAAAACATCTTCTTTTGTGTGAATATAAACCTTTATTTTGTGTCAGAATCAGAACGTATCACTTTGGAAGAGGGCAGAACTCAAGAGATGAAAAGAAGCTGCTGCTGATGAACTGATTCAGCTTTGGTGAGGAGAGCTGGTCTGCAGAGAAACAACCGGAACAATTAAAGAAACCGGACTAAAAATGCGTTAAAGTTTTTCTCCTTGTCATCAAAACCCCATATTGATGTTTATTAATAGCTCAATCAGTTCTTAACAGGTTGACTCTGCCAGTGATGCATTATTTTTTTCAGATTTCATGTTTCAAACAGTATGTTTCATTACAGTCAGTTCAAATTATGTCTTACTCGTATATTGTTACATAACATACAGGTCTTAATCCTTTTTAAATGTTCTTTCTTACGCTGTAGTGTTTTTTTCCTTTAATCAGTGTTAAGTGGATTTTTTTTATCCATTCTGTGTTATGTAGACTAATCAATCATCTTTAATTCTATACCACTTTTAATTTTTTAAAAAAAATTGAAATGTATTTGTTCAAACATAACTGAACGTACAAATGGTTCTAAATATGTATGATCTATGATATGCAAATAAAAATGTATAAGAAACACTTTTTTTCATATCTGTAAATGAGGTCACACATTCAAAGGTTTAAATGTGGAGATCCAGCAGTGTTTAAGAGGAATATTTAAACTATAGTCTATATATGATAAATAGATATCGTAAATATCTCTTTCAGCTGTTTCTGCTCTTACCATATTTATTGTTATTAGTGGAAATTCTAAAATATTAATATAATTAGCACTGTAAATTGGCACTCTTTAGATAATTATGAGTTCAACAACTGATGCTTTATTATACTGGCATGCAAAAATTAAGAATTTATAGATAAATTCAGTAAAGGTATTTGGAAAACTATAACTTATGTATTGTCTCAGGACTAGGAAGTGTTAGGAATGATGTTGATGGAAAAGGTAACGGTTTAGAATAAGGTTGTAGCTCCAACTTTTTTACTTTTTTCATTAGGGTTTTGCTTTTTTAATTATTTAAATTAAATACGATACTGGTAAGAGATTCTTATTAGTGTAGCTGTTTCTTATAAAAGCGCTGCCGTTTATTGAGACCAGTGTTATTTTTATTGTCCTCCTGCTGCTGTTATTTTTTTTTTTATTTCCCCCCTGGAGAGAAACATCAGTTGTGCTGCTTCCATCAACACCCTTGTTAACAGATGTTGGAGATCGGCCTGTTTTCCAGTGTAGTCCTGTTTCTCTGACTGTGACTAACTGGATGTGCTCTCTTCGTCCTCTGGCATGGGAGCTGGCTCGGAGCTCGTCTGCCTGGCTGTGTTTCCTGGACGGGGCCGCCTTTTACAGCTGCTTTTTCTATGTCTGCTTCTGTCTCCTTGAACCCCAGTGGGCCTCAGCAGATGGCCGCTCACACTGAGCCTGGTTCTGCTGGAGGTTTCTTCCTGTTAAAAGGGAGTTTTTCCTCTCCACTGTCGCTACAAGCATGCTTAGTGTGAGGGATTGCTGAAGAGTCAATGAGTCGATGCAATCAGCTGGTTTTCCTTAGATAGAAAACTTTGTATCAATTTGACTGCTTGATCTGGTTGAACTGTATAGTGCCTTGAGATGACATGTGTTATAAATTTGGCGCAATAGAAATAAACTGAATTGAATAGAAAATTTAATTATTATCCACACTGATATCAAAGATTCATTTATATATTATTGTGACTGTAGACAGGAAGAATAACTGGCAAAAATTAGTGCAGCAAAGTCATGATATAGAGTGGAGAATTATAGAGCTCTAAAAAAATAATGCAACAGTTTTTTGGCGTCTACTTAATCGTATTTAGTTACTTAAATAAATTTTTTTTATGTTAATATGTGTTCGTCATGGATTGTCCATAACGAACACCATGTTTGAGCATAAGGGTGTCCATATGTGCACATGGCACCAGGACACCCTAGGCCGCAGTTTGATGATCGACTTTGTCATCGTTTCATCGGACTTGCGGCATGTCTTGGACACTCGGGTGAAGAGAGGTGCTGAGCTTTCCACTGACCACTACCTGGTGGTGAGTTGGCTCCGGTGGTGGGGGAGGATGCCGGTCAGACCTGGCAGGCCCAAACGTGTTGTGAGTGTCTGCTGGGAACGTCTGGCAGAGTCCCCTGTTAGGCGGAGCTTTAACTCCCATCTCCGGCAGAACTTCGAACACATCCCGGGGGAGGTAGGGGACATTGAGTCCGAGTGGACCATGTTCCGTTCCTCCATTGTCGAGGCAGCTTATCTGAGCTGCGGCCGCAAGGTTGTCGGTGCCTGTCGTGGCGGCAACCCTCGAACCCTTTGGTGGACACCTCCGGTGAGGGATGCTGTCAGGTTGAAGAAGGAGGCCTATTGGGCCTTTTTGGCCTGTGGGACTCCGGAATCAGCTGATGGGTACCGGCGGGCGAAGCGGCATGCGGCTCGGATGGTTGCTGAGGCAAAAACTCGGGTGTGGGAGGAGTTTGGAGAGGCCATGGAGAAAGACTTCCGTACGGCTCCGAAGCGATTCTGGTCCGCCATCCGGCGTCTCGGGAGGGGGAAGCAGTGCAGCACCAACACTGTTTATAGTGGGGATGGTGTGCTGCTGACCTCGACTCGGGATGTTGTGGGTCGGTGGGCGGAATACTTCGAAGACCTCCTCAATCCCACCAACATGTCTTCCAATGAGGAAGCTGGGCCTGGGGACTCTGGACTGGGCTCTCCAATCTCTGTGGGCGAGGTCGCCGAGGTGGTTAAAAAGCTCCTCGGTGGCAGGGCCCCGGGGGTGGATGAGATCCGCCCGGAGTTCCTGAAGGTCCTGGATGTTGTGGGGTTGTGTTGGCTGACACGACTCTTCAACATTGCATGGACATCGGGGGCAGTCCCCCTGGTTTGGCAGACTTGGGTGGTGGTCCCCCTGTTCAAAAAGGGGGACCGGAGGGTGTGCTCCAATTACAGGGGAGTCACACTCTTAAGCCTCCCCGGCAAGGGGAGTATTCGGGGGTGCTGGAGAGGAGGGTCCGTCGGATAGTCGAACCTCGGATTCAGGAAGAGCAGTGTGGTTTCCGTCCTGGTCGTGGAACGCTGGACCAGCTCTACACCCTCAGCAGGGTCCTGGAGGGTGCATGGGAGTTCGCCCAACCAGTCTACATGTGTTTTGTGGACTTGGAGAAGGCGTTCGACCGTGTCCCTTGGGGGGCCCTGTGGGGGGTTCTCCGGGAATACGGGGTGCTAGGCCCTTTGATACGGGCTGTCAGGTCCCTGTATGACCGGTGTCAGAGTCTGGTCCGCATTGCCGGCAGTAAGTCGGGCTCGTTTCCGGTGAGAGTTGGACTCCGCCAGGGCTGCCCTTTGTCACCGATTCTGTTCATTACCTTCATGGACAGAATTTCTAGGCGCAGCCAAGGTGTTGAGGGGATCCGTTTTGGTGGCCTTAGGATTGCGTCTCTGCTTTTTGCAGATGATGTGGTCCTATTGGCTTCATCAGGTCGTGATCTGCAGCTCTCGCTGGATCGGTTCGCAGCCGAGTGTGAAGCGGCCAGGATGGGGATCAGTGCCTCCAAATCCGAGGCCATGGTCTTGAGCCGGAAAAGGGTAGAGTGCCTTCTCCGGGTCAGGGGGGGTGTCCTGCCCCAAGTGGAGGAGTTTAAGTATCTTGGGATCTTGTTCACGAATGAGGGAAGAAGGGAGCGGGAGATCGACAGGCGGATTGGTGCAGCGTCTGCCGTGAAGCGGTCGCTGTACCGGTCTGTCGTGGTGAAGAGAGAGCTGAGTCAAAAAGCGAAGCTCTCGATTTACCGGTCGATCTACGTTCCTACCCTCATCTATGGTCATGAACTCTGGGTCATGACCGAAAGAACGAGATCGCGGATACAAGCGGCCGAAATGGGTTTCCTCCGTAGGGTGGCTGGGCTCTCCCTTAGAGATAGGGTGAGAAGCTCGGTCATCCGGGAGGGACTCGGAGTAGAGCCGCTGCTCCTCCACGTCGAGGGGAGCCAGTTGAGGTGGCTTGGGCATCTGTTTAGGATGTCTCCTGGACGCCTCCCTGGTGAGGTGTTCCGGGCACGTCCCACCGGGGGGAGGCCCCGGGGAAGACCCAGGACACGCTGGAGAGACTATGTTTCTCGGCTGGCCTGGGGTTCCTCCTGAAGAGCTGGAAGAAGTGGCTGGGGAGAGGGAAGTCTGGGCCTCCCTTCTTAAGCTGCTGCCCCCGCGACCCGACCCCGGATAAGCGGAGGAAGATGGATGGATGGATGGATGGATGACTAAATAGATTCCAAAACGGTTGCATTATTTTTCAGTGAGCAAATGTAGAGTTATTAGTTTTCATTTCATTTTCCTTTTCTGCAAGAACAGTCAAGGAAATGTAATTACTGGACATACCTAACATCAAATGTATGACAATTGTATTGTCATACAATATTCTCTCACATGAAAACTGGGGTGCTAAAATCCATTTCTCCAGAGCTGCTATTGTGGGATTTTTAGATGCTGGGGGGGATTTACCATTAGGCAATACTAGGGCCCCAAGCTCCTGCGGGCCCCATAAAACTCTGTTTACATGTATCCATGTCCATTTGCTGCTAAAGGTCCAAAGAAAAAGCAGCAAACATTTGAAAACAAACGATGCAAAGAGCAGTTTTGTCAACTTTTTGCATTTGTCGCTATATTTAGTCACTTTTCAGACCCCTCTAGTACTTTAATTTCCAAAAAAGCACCTAGCACCAAATCTAGCGACTTTTTTCTGCTACTGGAGACTTTGGAGACAACATCTAAAAGCAGCGAATTCTGCTCTCCAGAGCGAGTAGATTGGTAACCCCGCCTCCTGCTCTCCTCTATCTTGTCTGCTGTCATGATTCATGCAGCTATTATTTCATCCAAATGAAAAATGGAGAACAGATAAGCAGATCATGGCTTGTCTACAATGAAAAGAAGGACTGGGTTATTTACTTTGGCCTTTTTGGAAACACAGGAAGGAGCAATCAGCTAAGTGAGCTTAGTGCTTGGAAAAAATCTTTCATTCCTTTTGAGACAGCATGAAAAGTCAGCTGAGTACAAAACAGAGAGAGGAAAACAAGAAGAGAGGGACAAAACCTAAGGTAACATACATTAGCTATTCTATAATATTTTCTGTATCTGTATAATGGGTCTGTTTTATGTGTTGTCTTCTCAATTCAGAGGGCCCCTTGCCTGTCTTTGCCCAGGGCCCTAACTGTCCTAAATCTGCCCTGTTTAGAAGCAGCCCTTTTTCATAGCACTTATTTTCTAAATGGTTGAATTCCCTCATCAGGATCATCAGTCTGCAGAGGTCTATAATGAAATAATAACTGAGCACATGCGTATTTGGAGGAGAGCTGGATCTAAACGTTAAAAGATAGTAGCTCCATGGGATTGGACATGGGCAGCTCTTCATTAAACTTATTATTTTTTCGCCTTTGAATGGCCCTAATACGGAAGAGGAATAGGGCTACTGAAAAAAAAAGGAAAAGGTAACTGATTTTTTAATTTTATTTCAGTTTAATATGGGGAAAAAGTCAGAATTCTGACTTTAATCTCAGATTTCTGATTTTAATCTAAAAATTTTGGATCTTAATGTAGATGGGCACCATGAAGGAAGACATGCGGGAGAGCTGAGCTTCACTGATGTGAGTTGTTTGAGAGGGCCAGTGACACATTGGTGGAAAATGACGGAATTAGGCGACTTTTTACGTCCTCATTAATAGAGGAGAAGGTCATTAAAACAAGAGAGCTAGTCTCTAAAACAGACATGGCTATGGCTTGATGCTAACATGTTTGTTATCTGTCAGAATTCTGAGAAAAAAGTCAGAATTCTGAGATTAAAGTCAGAATTCTGAGATTAAACTCAGAATTCCAAGAAAAAAGTCAGAATTCTGAGAAAAAAGTCAGAATTCCGAGATTAAAGTCAGAATTCTGAGATTAAACTCAGATTAAACTTTTTTCCCACATTAAACTGAAATAAAATTTAAAAATCAGTTAAAAAAATTTTTTTCAGAGGCCCTAATCCTCGTCCGTACCCCAACACACCGTCGCAGAGATATTAATCTCTAGAAGTGAAGAAGAAAACCACCGAAGTGACCGCTCTCTCACAAACGATCTGTGTATAGTGGATAGCCAATCCCGTTGCAGGATTTGAAGCTTGTCACATAGAGAACCAATCACAATCGAGGTTTGGTTGTTATACAGGAAGTGATGGAGACTATGCCGTCCTAGCATAGCGCTAAACATGTTTACAGCCTAAACTGCAGTCTCTTGCTTTAGATATATTTATATTTAAATGAATATGATTTGAAAAATAAATATTATGGATCCTTCTGCCGGGTTCGTGTCAGTACTGTGTCAGATCATGTAACCGGATAGTTTTTTCGTAGTCACATGCAAGACGGTAAGCGTCAACTTTCCGAGGAAAGTTAGAGCTGCCAGAGTTTCAGTTTCAGGTAAGACTTCATTTTGGTTTATTGGCTTAATTAATACATTGGTTTATTTTTAATATCAGCGATGTTTTGTTAGTTTGCACTACCAATGTAGCTAAAGACTTTCTGAAATGAGAACTTTTTGGCCTACATGCTATGTAATGCCTACAGGAACAAACATAAATAAAAATAAACACACCCTCCTAACGATGAAACACGATAGTTGTGGTGTCATGCTGTGGGGTCGCTTTTAAGTGTGACATAAAAGCCTCTAGGAGCTGGAATAAAATGATTCACCTTGAACTAGAATACATGCAAATGTTTAGTTTTGATTTCATTCAGTGTGAAACTTAACCTTTTTTCCTAATTTCCTCAACTTTTCTAAGTTAAAGATAACCTGTTCTTTCTTTAGCTTATCCACCATGAAGACAAATAAGACGTATAAACTGGTGCTCCACAAGAAAGGTTTTGGAGGAAGTGGTAAGAAGACACTTTTAAAGGGACAGAACACATTTATTTAGCTTCAGCTGCTTTGGATGCAAACCTTTGGCTGGGATCGTGTTAAAAATGAGCCTTTTTCTCTGAGCAGACGATGAGCTTGTCGTCAATCCAAAAATCTTCCCACAAGTCAACCTGGGCGACATCATTGAGATTGCTCACCCAACAGATGAGTACAGGTGAGGTCATCGACAGAAAAAAATCATTATCTTTACTCTTCTTTATTGCTTTTGTTGTTTATATTTAATATGTCGGGGGTTTTACTTTCTCTTTTGGTATTTAGTCCTCTGCTGCTGCAGGTGAAGAGCCTAAAAGATGATCTTCAGAAAGGTAAATACATTTTAAACAAGGATTTCAGTTGAACCCTAATAAGATTTGCTTGTTGCAGCAGTAATGACCAATATTTGAACATTTGAGTAACTGATTGGTTACTGCTTTTTTTTTTTACTCTATGTTTTGCACTGTTAGACAGAGGGAGTTTGGAACGGCTTCCGTCCAAAGTAATCTGTTACATCCTGCATTATTGGACTGGATTGAAACTGTAAATTTTTCTGTCATGCTTTATCCCTGCTTGGGGATAAAGCATGGTTTATCCCCAAGCAGAGACAAACAGGGCAAACAACCATTCACACTCACACCTAAGGAGAATTTAGAGAAGCAAATTAACCAAACAGTCATGTTTTGGGACTGTGGGAGGAAGCCAGAGTACCTGGAGAAAACCCACTCATGCTCACGGAGAACATGCAAACTCGATGCAGAAAGACCCCGGGGCCGGGAATCGAACCTGGAACCTTCTTGCTCCTTGGCCTGGGCAGCCCTGGATTGAAACTAGATATTAGTAATTGACCAGTACAGGTTTTTAAGGCCAATGCAGATACAGATAATTACGGTGGCCGGCAAGTGCAAAACAATATTTTACATGTTTTGACATTTTTGTGCGTCAGATTACAGGAAATAAGTCGATTCAGTTTATTTCTATAGCACCAATTCACATCATCATTCATCTCAAGGCTCTTTCCAGTTCACCAGATCATCCATTTAAAGGAATAGTACACCCAAAACATGATTAGCCTTCATTTTCTACTCACCCCCATGCTGAACAACACTCTGGAGTACTTTTTTGATATCTCAAATGCATCTGGAGATCTGGGAGGCTTCTTGCTGTCTGCTGACATTCAAATAATGGAGGTCTATGGTGACCGAGGCAGAAAGGTCCATAAAAGTCCACAAAAAACGTGTCAATATTCCTCCATACTGCTCGTCCAATGTATTCCAAGTGTCCTGAGTGGGTAGCATCCATAATTTAATTTTTCAGTTTCAGACTTTTTTTTTGTAAGAGGTGAAGCTGCTGAGAATTATTTTTGTTTCTTAACTGGTTTGGCTAGTGTCATTGTTATGTGTGTAAAGCATAGCCAAGGAAGGAACACTTAATTTTAATTTTATAAGTTTTTTTATCAAGCTTGCTTAATATTGTGCACAGCAAACAACCTCAAAATATTGTTCTTATTGTTTATTGTCTTTATTTATTGTATTTTATTTATTAATGAAAATATTTCTGTAGAATTTTGGAGTCTTTGTTTTTATCCTTGTGGTATCAAAAATGGTATTGGGTATCGAGTATTTTCCTTAGTATCGGTATCGAGTTGAAAAGTTTAGTATTGTGACAACCCTATTTGAGATATCAAAAAAGTACTCCAGAGTGTTGTTCAGCATGGGGGTGAGTAGAAAATGAAGGCTAATCATGTTTTGGGTGTACTATTCCTTTAATTTGATTCAAAGTTTTCTATCTAAGGAAAACCAGTTGATTGCATCGACTCATTTACTCAAAAACAATCCCTCACACTAAGCATGCTTGTAGCAACAGTGGAGAGGAAAAACTCCCTTTTAACAGGAAGAAACCTCCAGCAGAACCAGGCTCAGTGTGAGCGGCCATCTGCTGAGGCCCACTGGGGTTCAAGGAGACAGAAGCAGAGATACAAAGGAACTTGTCAACCAGCTCCACAGGCGGCCCCATCCAGGAAACACACAGCCAGGCAGAGGAGCTCCGAGCCAGCTCCCATGAGGATGAAGAGAGCATATCCAGTTAGTTACAGTCAGAGAAACAGGACTACACTGGAAAAACAGGCCGATCTCCAATATCTATAAACAAAGGTGTTGATGGCAGCAGCACAGCTGATATTTCTCTCCAGGATGGAGTCACAGCCAAACAGGAACAGACCAGATGAAGCTACTATGAGAAAAAGCAGAGAGAGCAGAACGTTACAGATTGAACTAACAGATTCTGCAGAGTGGGAGAATAGAGATAGAATGAAGCAGAATGATGAAAAGGGATCCTCATGTCCTCCAGCAGTCTAAGCCTATAGCAGCAGAACTATAGAGATAGCTCAGGATAACCTGAGCCACTCTAACTAGAAGCTTTATCAAAAAGGAAAGGTTTAAGCCTAGCCTTAAAAGTAGACAGGGTGTCTGCCTCACGGATATTCGATATTCAGTCCGATATTCAGTTTTAAGGCCGATACCGATAGGGGGCCGATTATATCGTGCATCCCTACTTACTAATGCTTCATAACATAAATTTTTTTTTTTTTTTTGTCACTTTCTTTCTTTATGCAGAATTGTAAAACATCTGTCCATAAATCTCTTGGTTCCAGATTAAATGAACTTTGCAAAGACTTTGCATCTTCATAATGGAAATCCTCTCCTTTGCAGAGACCATCAGCGTGGATCAGACTGTAGCGCAGGCGTTCAAGCTTCGTGCTTACCAGGATGTTATCGTAAACATTGTCGACCCAAAGGTACGCTCATCCTGGCTGCTAGTTAAACTATTCCTCTGGAAGAACTTTCTAACTGTTTTCTTTGCTTTACTCCAACAGGATGTTACACTGGACTTGGTGGAGCTGACATTTAAAGACCAGTACATTGGAAGAGGAGACATGTGGAGGCTGAAGAAGAGTCTGGTGGGACATGTTCACCACTAGCTGCCGATGCACACTAGTGGTGAACCCATCCAGTTTTTTTCTCATAACGATATAACACTAATGTTGAACTGTTTAGTTCGCATTGTGAGGGAAGCCATCAGGCTAACAAAAAAAAGCTAACGAGTTACTGTGGATATACTGTACTGTTGTGCTTGAAAGTTTGCAGACCCTTCCATTAAATCAGCCAGTAAACAAATTCAAATTGTCAAAAGTCATAAGGAATAAGAATTTTTTAAAAATGGAAATCAAACATTGATTTTGAATCACTGAAATCAGGCGATTCAAGTAATGTTCAGGAAATGTTCAGTCAGATTTCTGCACCTGTTGAAAGGTTGGTTCACTGTTCATGAGCGAGGAGCTTTAATTTAGCTGTGATAGTTTTTATTTTTCAGAATTGTTTAAAACAAATATAAATTCAAAAATCATTATCTTATTTTACTAAATTATCATTTATCCTAGTTATTTTTTTATTTACTTTTTCAGTTTGTTTTATTTGAATAACTAGTTTAAATTAATCATTTTCTTTCATGGGAGGGTTTGGAAACTTTAGAGCGCGACTTTAAATCATCACAAGCCGCTGTGCGCGTTCTACGTGATGATGTCAGCGGCGTAGCACAGAATCGAAGCGACTAGATCACAGTGACTTATTACAGATTTGAAATAAATCAATGAAAGCTGTAATATCTTTATGCATTTTTGAGAAACAACAGCAAATAACAGATGTAGAAAAGTTTTTCTCCACCTATTCCTATTAAAACCTCATTCACTGAAAAGTAATAATCCCCCTGCGTTACAGATTCTGAAAGGCCTCGCATCATGAAATACTGCACATAATCAGTGCAATGAGTGCAATGCAATACCTCGGCTCCAGACGTCCCGCCCCCTCCACAGACAAATTGTAGCTGACCGCAGACAGTGCAGCAGACAGGAGGCCGGCTTGTTTTGTTTTTATGACCGAAATTGCGGAAAACAACTCGTGAAGTTTGACCCGCTAGAAGAGTGAGGTGCGCGAGAACGCTGGGACCCTTTTTCCACCTGAATCTCCGCTCTTTTTGGCCCTCATGTCCCTCCATCGTCGGACTAAACTCGCCCCCACTTCCTCGCCGCCTCGGCCGTATCTAGACCCACAGCGTGTAGCACAGACCACGCTTCAATATTGAGCATAAATCAAAAATGTCTGCATCAAGCTCACTGCGACACACTGCTGTAAGAGTATAACCAGGAAGCGCGGTAGGAGGGCAAAATAGGTTTAGCGCCACCGCAGCACGGGAGGGAGAATTACACCCAGGAGCAAATGGATCAAAATAGACCGGAAGGAAAAAAGAAAAACATGAATCGATTCTCTTGCGGATGTATCGATGCATCGGATCATCGGCTGTTGGATCGATGCATCGATACAAAACTATTATTATTTACACCCCTATCCAGTACTGCGTGCCAGTCAAAGATTCAGAGGCATCAGTCAGTTGAGGCACGAACACACCGTTTGAGTACGAATTTTTATTCAAACAATTTCCCACATTTTCCGTTGGACAGATTATAAAACGGGCTCATTCTATAAAGCAAAGCCCCCCTTAACAAGTCAAACCAGAACAGATAGAGAAGGTTCATATATTAAAAACATAGTGAGATCTACGTCTAAAAAGAAAAACACAGCAATAAACACTGTAGGATGTCTGTTTCTATGCCGACTGTAGCAGAAAGATGATTCTCTTTTTCTTTCTATTCATAAAGAGGTGAGACAGATACGTCGCGCTTACCTGCTCTGTCTGCCCCTCCTTATTTCGTTTCGAGGATCACCATTTTACTTTATCTGTTTTCTGTCCTCCTGAATTGCTATCATTGGTAAAGTTTTACATTTTTTTTATGTTTCATTGATTGTTTTTGCAACAGTCTGTCCCGGTTACTATTGTAATGATGCCAGCAACGCTGAGGTAATGCTGTAATCGTTACACTATAGACGCGATGTGCAAACTCCAAAACTGACTCTTTCCCTATGCGATTATTAGATATTACTTTACTGTATTTTAGCGACTATAAGGCGCATATAAACGTCTTTTTTTCCCCTCAAAATGTGTGGTGCGCCCTGTGTGTGTTGTTACTGCGGACGTTGTTAAGACCACCATGAGAACGTTAAAAGAATAGTACACCCAAAACATGATTAGCCTTCATTTTCTACTCACCCCCATGCTGAACAACACTCTGGAGTACTTTTTTGATATCTCAAATGCATCTGGAGATCTGGGAGGTTTCTTGCTGTCTGCTGACATTCAAATAATGGAGGTCTATGGTGCCCGAGGCAGAAAGGTCCATAAAAGTCCACAAAAAACGTGTCAAGACCAAACCAGATGAAAGTGTGCATTCAGCGGCATTTAAACGTAGTAGAGGATATGTACCGGTATATAAAACCCGCGCCCTATAATCCAGTGCGCCTTATGTGTGTGTTAAATACAGTAATGACACACATAACTGAGACTGCGCCTTTTAGTACGGTGCGCCTTATGGTCGTGAAAATACGGTATATTTTCTCCCAAAGCGGAGGTGTTTTACTTTATAAGCGTGTCTCTTCCTGTCAGAACCGTGAACTTGCAGCTGAATTGCTGCTTAATCTGACTAAATTAGACCTGGGCTCTATCTCAGTGTGATCATCCCCATTGACCTCGCCCAACACGATTTTCTGTCAGATCGGACTCAAAATCGGTCTCGGTGTGTTCTCACCTTTACGGAAAGATCTTCTGCCTTCCATTTTGTGCCACGGATCTGAGCGTGCAGTAAGATTAGCCTGCAGCTTGTTAAACTGTGACAGACTTTTCAGATACTGACAAGTTCAGACATTTTGACACCTTCAGTGTGAATTAGTCAAAGCTTTGGTTCTTTGTGTTTCAGGTGAGCACCTGTGCTTATGTGACTCAGAAGGTGGAGTTTGCAGGAATCAGGTACGTCACGTTTGCTTCTCGGCTCTTTGTTATTCTTTGTTTTAAAGTCGTAGGGAAGCGGCTGTTCCAACCGTTGCATTTCTGAATTCTCTCGAGTGGTGCCCGACTTTACACGAGTGAATAAAGTTAATGTGATATGTTGTTTATCAAGGGGGCGGGATTGTTGTGGCGGAAGGTTCTCAAGTATTTTGGTTATGGCCGTTTTCTCGGAAGCATCTTGCTAACCAATTAGCAACTTAGTGCTAGCAGGTTCCCAATGGGAAATTCCATTGGGACCAAGTAGCACTAAATTGGTGACTTAGAAACGACGCTGTCAAGGAACGCTATGGACAGAGGAAACATGCAAGAGGAGGAGAGTTTAGTGTCGGAGGTCGTGGATGAGTCTCCTCCGTCATCCATTTTTTATTTAGAGGAGGAAAGCGAGGACGAAGATGTTGTGGAAGAGGACGCCAGGGCGGCAGAAGCTTGGTTTGGTGTAGAAGGCTTCCAGCCGTACATGTTTGAGCCCTTGCCTCGCAACGCTGCCAGTTCTGTTAGCTCTACGCCTGCT